GGCGGGGGTGTCCCTCAGCCCCAAAGAAGAGCTCCTCTAAGATCTCTCCATCCTCTCGGGCTGCCCGGCAGGCTGGGCCCTTCAACCAGGCAGGAGGTGGTGGGGGGCGTAAGAGGCGGGGACAGGGGGGTGGAGGGGGTGAGGGTGGCCCAGGTGGCAGGGACAGATGGGAAGTGGCAGCAGGAGCCCCCAAGAACGGTTTCCGACTGCTGTGTGCCGAAGGCCCCAGGCGGCCCTGGTGAGAAGAGGCCTCCAGCGCAGGAGTCTGGTAATGATCAGCGCCAGGCTGCAAGTATAGGGTGCAGTGGTCAGAGGGCTGTTCTAGCCATCTCAGACAAGTTCTGCTGACCCCCTCGACCCACCCTGCACTCGCAATTGTCACTCACAATGCCTGGGTTCGGCTCCACACCCCGGAGGCCGGTGTTGCTGCTGCTGCTGCTACTGCTGCTGGTGGTGGTGGTGCCGGGAAGGCCAGGGGGCCGGGAAGGGGCGTAAGGCACGCAGGCGGTGGTTGCTGCTGGTGAAACGCTGGAGTCCATCCGCGACCTCTGAACTCTGCTCTCTCTAAGGTCACTTCCGGGGGGACGGGTGGCAGGCAGGCAGCCATGGCTCTCTGCTCCTGGGGGGCGGGGGCCCGGGCCTGGGGGTGCAGCCGGGACTAGCCGGTGGCCAGGGGGGTGCGCGGTGTAGGCTGGAGCTGGGTATGGATATGGGTGAGGCAGCGAGTGCCGCTGCTCCTATGGGAGATAAACAAGGAAACAGGATGAGGGCTAAAGAGCACAGGACCTGCAGGTAAGAGATGAGAGGCAACAGACAGAGGCTCACCTGACGCTCTGGGGGTGCTGAGCCTTTACGCTCAGGGCCCCAGGCATCTCCATGCAGGGTACTCCACAGCCCTGGCTTGGTCAGCTGAAATGGCGGGCTGGTGGCCAGGCCAGGTAAGGGTGGTGGTGGTGGTGGTGGTGGTGGTAATGGTGGTGGAGGCAGTGGCAGCCCTGGGGGAAGGCCAGTCTAGGAGAGAAGAGGGTATAAGAATCTCACTCCTTGCCCTAGTCCTGCCTACTCATTGCCTGTTGGTTTACCTACAACCATACCTGTTCAGAGTTGCAGCCTCTTCTGCGCTTGCCTCCAGGGCTGAGGCCTTCCTCCCCTGAGGGGCCTGAGAGTGCTGCAGGAGGCACAGGCTGCACCACTGGGGGTTCGGCAGCTCGCTTCACCGGGGGACCCCCCCGCTTGGCTCCATAGTTCCGCTTGTGCTGAGAACAAAAAGAAGGGAGAGAGAATGGCACGGGTGCAGGCCTAGCCCAGTCCTCCTCCCTAGCCACCGAGCCCCAGCCTCACCTCAAGGTGCAGCAAGTTCCACACTTGCTCCAGGGGGGGCAGGACCTTGGCTCGGTGCTGGCAGGAGCCAGCATGAAAGTTCCAGAGCTGGGCCTGGAGTGGAGGGCAAAGGCAGACATAAGGTGGGGCATGAGCCAGAAAGCACTATCCTAGCCCCTTATGTCCTGCCTCATCCCACCTGCTGCAGTCGGCCAATTCGGGGTCCCAGTTCAGCGAAGCTTCCTCCATATCGAAGGGCGCTGTGGTAGCAGCGAATGGCTTCCTCGCTGTCATGCTCTGACTCATACAACTGCCCAAGCTGTTCCCACAACCCTGGCTGGGCTGGCTCCCGGAGCAATGCCTGCACACAGCCATGCAGGGATTCCAGCTTCCCATGGAGGGGTCTTGGAGTGGGTGCCCTACAAGACAGAAAGGTTGGAAGAGTGATCAGGCTTAAGAAAACTCTTTCAAGGTCCCAGCCTTACCTCTCACCCCTAGAGCCTTCAAAATCTCCACTCACCCTGGAGCATAATATGGTTTGTTGGGGTGCCCAGAGCTACTGCCATGCGAAGGGGGTAGGGGAGCAGGGAGTGGAGGCTGCCCAATGCTGGCCGAACATCTGGAAAGAGAAGGGGTCTGTCATATACAACAAGAAGAAAGTCTTGACCTACTCAGAAAGAAGGATACTGAGGGATGAAGAGAAAGCAGCGGAAGACTGTATAGAGGCCCAGAGAATGACAGAAACCCATGGAGAATGACACAGAGATTGAGGGGTGCAGAAGATGAGAAGTTCTCACCTGCCTCCAGGCAGCCATGCGCTACGAGGAGGGGGATGAGGTGGGCAGGAGCTCCAGGCCCCAGCACAGCTCAGGCCCCCAAGGGCAAAGGCTTCCCGTGCAGTGCGGGCCCCTGGAGGGTCCACTGCCCGATGCATCCAGCCTGAGTCAGGAATAAGAAATTATGCTCTTACTGGGGGCAAATCCAGAGCTGCCAGTGTACTCCCAGCCAACCCAGCCCCAGGCTTTTCCTCACCAGGTCAGCAGTGGCCCCAGGAGCCCTGGAGATTGGGCACGGCACCCTGCCCCAGCTCTCTGGGACGATGGTCCGGCTCCAGCCGCTCTGACGAGTGCCCACTGCCCCCAGGTGGCTGCCTGGGGCCTTTCACAGCCAACGCTACAGAAAGAAGGAGGAAAAGGAGGGAGGTGAGCTGGCCAGCACACAGAGCCCAGGGGCTGGGCTGGGCTCGCCGGGGCACCGACAGGTCTGTCATTTGTGCAGCAATCCCAGCCTTGGCTTTTCCTGTGGGCAGGCCCACCCAGCCTAAGGAGCCCCCGGAGGCTCAGGAGAGTATCTGGCAGCCAGGACGAGTGTTAGGGAACCAAACAGCCAGTCTGAGGGACAGGGTGGCTGCGATGCCAGGCGTCCAGTCCGGAGCCTCGGAGCCGACCCGCAATGCCGCTGCCGCTTACCCGGCCTCCGTGGGAGCGTCCTCTCACAGCGTCGGCGAGCTCCAGCGATCTGGCCAATCACAGAATTTCCTCTCCCCCCAGAAAGCCAATCATCACCCGTGTCTCCGCCTCAGTAACAGCCAGGCCGGAACCAATGGGAACGAGGTTAGCCCGGCAGGCAGCGGCCCTAGGAGGAGGGACGACAGAGCCGGTCAGACGGGCTCAGCCCGGGGTGACCCCGATGTGACCCCACGAGTCCCACCTAGGGTCCCCATCTTAAATCTGACACTCGGGCCAGCAGAGCAAGAAGGCCGGCAGGACAAGACGCGTGCCGGTGAGGGCGGTGAGTCGCACGCTCAGGCCGGCCTGAGGGATGGTGCCAGGCGCAAGCCTCAGGCACCCACTGAGCCGCGGGTGGTCCCGATCAGACCGCGCATGCCGCCTCCCCCCGCCCCCAGCCACCAAAAGACCGACGGACGGAAGCAGAACGCAGACACGGACGTCCCTGCCCTCCTTCACCTCGCCCGTGACTGACCTCTCCACCCCGAGCGCCACTTGTAGCTGCTTAGGGCTGGCGAGCCACGGCTACTTTGGCACCTAAACCCGTCCGCGCCGCTATCAAAGCGCTTCACTCCCAAAGCCTGACCCAGACTCCCACCATGGTTAAGACCCCAGCCTCACAACCAGTTCCTCCGGCTCTTCCACTTTCCCTGGCTTTCTGGGTCTTCAATACCGACCGACCCCCAAACCAAACCCCCTCCCTCTTCAGTTCCCCAACTTCCGATAAGTCGCGCACCGTGGTCCCGAATGGCCCCTTCTCTCGTGGCTCCCGTATCCTCTATGCCCTTCTCCGCCGGGGCCACGCGGTTCCCCACGGCCCACGTGGCCCCCGCCCCCCAAGGGAGGGGGGGATTTCGGGGGTTGCCCGTGACGTGGCTACTTGCGCAGCGGAAGCGGTGTGTGTAAGTGTGTGTGGGGGGGTCCTAAGGGAGGGAGGAGGGCGGGGCCCGACGGGCAGTGACATCACCCTTGTCCCACTCTCACCGCCCACTCCCTTAAAGAACCCAGAACCTGTTTCACTTCCTCCTTCACGCCCCCCCTTCCCGTCAGTGCCGGCTAGACCCACGACAAGCACAGGGCTCCCCGCTCCTGGGCGCCTTCCTTTAGGCCCCAGCTCGTCCTTCCTGTCTCTGGGCCCCGGAGCTGCGTCCTCGCGCCTCCCCCGAGCCTACCCGGCGTCCCCGCAGGTAGGGAGCCGGCTCAGCTCCCAGGATCTGTCCATTGAGAGTCTAGAGTACAAAGAGCGGCGAGAGGCGAGTCGAGTACAAAGCGGCGGGGGCGGGGCCAGCGCTCCAGCTGGAGCGAGCGCCGGGCAGGAAGCCGGGGGAGAGTGCACGACTAGGGGCTTGGGGGCGGCTGGAAAGTTCGCCTTCGATGAGAGAAGTCTGCGCTGTGGGGAAATTTCCACCCAGCCCACAAGGGCAGACGAATTTCTGATAAAAAGTGCCTTCCCTCCCGCAGGGGCGAGGTCGTCTGTTTGCACGGAAGCGGCTGGACCCTACGGGTCTCCGCGTGCCACTCTCCGCTTAGCCCCAGTGGGTCCTGGCGCTCCGCGGACTCTCTCCGCAGTTCACGCGGTTTCTGTAAGAACTCTCTCTTCTCACCAGAGCAGCAGCCTTTCTATCGGCCCCGAGACACACACAGAGCTTAACTGCGGTCAAGTGTAGCCGCCCTGGCCGGCTGCCCCCATCCAAGTTCCAGGTGGGGCGGAGAACCCATTAGGCAAACGGGGAGCCGAGAGCAGACATCAGAGGAGCAGATCCCTGCTTGGGAAGTAGTGCCGAGGGCGCTGCCAGTTACCAGGAAATGCAGCTTCCCCTTCTGCGATGATGACACTTCCCCTCTGCCACTTCCCCTTTCCCACGGGGAACTGACTCAGCTTTCCCTAAACCAGCGAGCCCCGTCCCTCCAGCCCCTTGTCTTCCACCTTTATGCACAAAGGCCCACGCCGGCACCGAGAATACAAAGCCCTCACTTGAGGACAAAACTTCCTACACGCCGAACACACACTCACCTCGGATCCTTGTCCCCACCCGGGACTCAGGCGCCTGACTCCTCACCTGCCCCCCACCCCGCACAAAGCCCTCCCTCGGGGTCTGATTCAGGCTTGGGGTGGGGGAGCGTGAGTCACCCAGAAAACCTTCCTCTATTCCCACTGACTCAGCCCCCGCCTCCCTGAACACACACAGACACAGTCAGAGGCAGACACAACTCCTCAGCCCACACACCGCTCACCACCGGTCCCGCGGAATTTCCCCTGCCATCTCCCCCCGCGACGGCCCCTCCCGCTCGGGCAGCCCCGACGCCGCACTCACACCTGTTCCCCAGCCGCCGCAGGCCAGTTCGCGGTCCACTCTCACCTCCACTCTCGCTTAGAAGCAAGAATAGCCCTCCCCGACTCCCGGTGTCCATACTAACCAAGGGGAGGGGACAACCACCGACAGGCACAAAGACTGACACCCACAGACTCCACGAAGACAGACGAGAGGCAGACGCACGTGCCCCGGGCCAGGCTGGGAGGTCGATGTACTTCTGGAGCAGACATTCCAGCCCCTCCCGACCCGACCCACGATCCCAGGAGCCAGCCGCTCCGAAAGGGTTAATTCTACTCCCGCCGAGGCCACGCCCTCTCCATCCGGGCACTCCCGGCAAAAGCCCAGCTCCGCCCCTTCCATCCGGGCTCCGGACTCAGGACTTTAACCGATCTCCCCCCTCCCCCTCCCCCGAGCCCCAAGGGAGAACCACTCCATCAATCACACCCACTTAACTCTCTCCGAGCTTGAGGCCGGGGAGCCCCTCCGCGCAGCGCAGCAGCCTCGCGGGACGCGTGGTAAGAGACCTCAAGTGCTCACGCAGACTCACATGACGGCCAGAGACAAGACCCCGCATACAGGGTTTTACTGAGCAGGCAGACAGCGAGCACGCTACACGCACGCAGAGATGGGGCTTGTCTAGGACCCTCGTCGCATCCCGCTCCCTGCCTGTCTTCATTCTGCCAGGTGGAAGCGAGGGGTTACAGGCTCGCTTCTTACCTGGGGGAGGAAGAGGCGGGGGGAGAGCCGCCGGCTGAGGCTAAGCTGTGACTCAGCCACCCGGGCAGGCCGCCCGTCCGGGATTCCCTTCCCCAGCCTTCCCCCGCTGCTGGTCCCTCCCCGCCCCCCACCAAGGAGTGACGGTGCCGGCCCCGGCCCGCTATGTGTCACTGCAGGCCTTGTGTCTGCCTCTGACTGGGCCTGTGTTCACCACTCTGTCTGACACGGTCGCCTGTGTGTGGGTCCTGGTGTCTGTCTCTGTGCACCTGCATATCTGCTCATCTTGTCTCTCTCTGTGCCCGTGTCTGACGCGTTCCTGTCATTATCCCTGTCTACATGACTCCGCGGGGCTGTCTCTGTCTGTGTGTCTGCCTAGCTTCTGTCTCGGTCTTTTGTCTGGGTCTGCCTCAGCATCATTGGCGTGATCACGTGTGTCTCTGCACATGCCCTTCTGTGTTTGCCTTCATGTTCTCAACAGAGTCAGTGAAACATCGGAGCAGGCTGACCCTACTGACTCCTTGCTTCACTCTCCTGAATTTTGATGTCTTGCTGGATCAGTGATCTTATGTTTGAGTCAAGTATTTGGCAGCCTGTCTGCCTTCAATCAAGTTCTGTTCCATCCCTCAACATCCCTGCTTATCTTCACAGCTCCTTGTGGCTCCCATCATAATAACTGCTAGCATTTAGTGAATATGTATTACGTGCCAGGCACCCTATTAAGCATTTTACGTGCATTTTTTAAACTCTTCCCCCAAACCTAACATAGACAGTACTTTGAGCACCCCATTTTACAGATGAGGAAATTGAGGCTCATAGAGGTTAGGTGACTTGGCCAAGGTCATCCTGCAAGTGAATGGAAGAGCTGGGCTTCTTTCCAGAGCCACTTTTTTTTAAAAAACCACTCTTCTATACTGCCTCTGCTCTACTGTCCTTCCCTTGGTTTTAGCCGCACAAGCCGTCTCCTAGGCCAGCCTTCCTCTCAGCTCTACCCTATGTTACCATCCCAAATGTCTCATGTCCTCTAGAGAAGGTAGAAGGCTGTACAGCAGATCTCTGAATTCCTGGGTTTCTTGGCAATGAAGCTCATTCAGTTAACACAGTATTCAACACTAAAACATTGAGACGCCCCAATCTTCAAACCATCATGCCAATAGTGAGAGATACACAGAAGCAACAACCTCACTCAAAAAACCCCTTAAGTAATGGGGAAGAATGATGCACTTAAGTCCCTGGTTTAGGGATCATCTTCCCTTTTCTCCTACAGAGGAATAGGAAATGAAGAAGGCCTCACGCAGAACTGACAGAAGAGGAAGGGAAGCAAAAGAGAAGAAAGACTTAGGTGGGGGTGGGAGGGCAAATGCTATAGGGCAATGGGGGAGAAAGTGTGACAGAAGGGGATCTGGAGGTAAAGGTAAGATGCCAAGATTACTGTGGCAAAGTAAGCTGTTGTGACAGTGCTCTCCAGTGTCTCCTCAAATAAATTTCCAAACACCCTATATAAGCAGGGCAGCTCAACAACTCTCATGCGGCAAAGCCCTTCCACTCCCAAGAAAAAATTCTTCCAGGGCATTTCACATTCACTTTTCAGCTTGCAAACTCTAGCTTAATTCCATAAGCAACTGAGGTGGGGGGGTAGGTTTTTTTGGTGGTAGTGGAGAGGCTGGTGAAGTACAGGGCTGAACCATTCATGGGACACAGAGGGGAGCTCCATAAACCAGGAGAGCCGAACCACTCAAGCACCACATGGTGGGGGGAGGTTCAGAATTGGACTGGACCATTATGAAGAGTGGGCATGATCCAGATTATACCAAACATCTTCAACCATGTGGTTCAGAGCTGGACTGTTGCAGAGACAGGGTCAGTCAGGGGCAGGACTTACCAGATGGAAGTTGGTGTGCCCTGTCTCATTGGAACCAGTGCCCCAGCAGTGGGGTTCAGCAGACCACAGTGGGTGGAGTGGGCAGTGCTACGGGGCTGGCATGGTGTCTGGGGGGGGAACCTAGAAGAAAAAAGTCAGAGATAAGGTCTCCAAGGCTGG